CAGGCTGGTGATCTGGGTAGCATTCAAGACAGAGAAGAATAATACCCAGTCAAGGTTCTGAAATTCTTTTTGCATTTACAGATTTCTATTTATTTTTTATCTTAAAAGCAGAGTGGTGGGCCAGTGTTATGATGTAGTAGGCCAAGCCATAGCCTGTGACGTGTTATGGGTGCTGGTTTGAGTCTCAACTTCTGCTTCAGCTTCCTGCTAACGCACCCGGGAGAGTAGCAGCACCGGCAGAAGAGGATCTCCAGGAGAGGAATGTAGGAAAGACCTGACAATGTCGGCTCTTTCCTGCACAGTTCTGGGGGCGGCAGAATGACAGCTAACAATCGAACAGTCGGAGGGCTAGTATTACATTCCTGTCTAGTCTGCTCATGATGAAACAAGAAACCCATCTGAAGGGTGGCACTGGTCATTTCCTCATGTTAAGGAAGACTAGCTCAGAAGAGTGAGAGCTGTGGCTGTGCTGGCTAGAGGCAGCTCCTGGCGGGAAGTGAGCATTTTGTGCTTGGAGGGACTCTGCCCCTTCTCTCATTCCAGCACACACCTGTCCCGACTGCCTACCTGGTAGCCCACCTGAACTCCTCTCTGGCATTGTGCTGCTTCTCAGGGCCTCCCCGCACCTTTAGCACAGTTACTCTATTTTTTTTTTTTGAGTGCACGATTTTTATTTTCCTATTCTACAAGATCAGTTAATTTTGTGTTTGATAGCTTCTTCATCTCCACCTTTTGGATTTTTGGATTTTTAAAATTAATTACATTTCATTATGTGACACAGTTTCATAGGCTCTGGGATTCCCCCCAACCCCTCCCCGTACCCTCCCCCCATGGTGGATTCCTCCACCTTGTTGCAGTATTACGGTTCAAATCCAGTCTAGATTTTTTCATTGCAAGCATATACCAAGCGCAGAGTCCAGCATCTTATTGTCCAGATAAATTCAATGATTTCTTGGGGAGACCATCTCTGGTCTGAAGGTAGAGCTGGCAGAATATCATCCTGATCAATTAAAAGCCCCAACATAACATCAACAACAGTTTACAACATTATAGAGTTGATTGATATAGTATTGAGTAACCAATATGTTAGAAAATGCAAGTTCTTAATCACATCCTGTGACTACTTCATTGACATTTCAATCTTAGTTTCTGTACCACTGGCTTCTATACACCTTAAAATGGCTATAGGGTACTATTCAGCTGTCTCATGTCTATTTTCCTTTTAGTATTTAGCAATTTATAGTGTTGAAGCATAATTTTGCTGAACTTGGCAGATTTTAGGATAGTCTAAACTGGCTTATAACTCTAACAAGGCATATGTCAACAGTTGAGGTACAGAACTCTGTTAGGAGGGGTGTGCAGAGAAATCCTCAGTGCCTTAGTGAGGAGTAACTTATCTTTGTGTCCTACCTAGTAAGGCATATGAAGCACAGTTACTCTTTACAGAGTGTGTTTATTATCAACTCTGCAACTCGGTGGCTTAATAAAACGGAAGTTTCTTTCTTAGTCATTTCAGTGGCTTTCTTGAGGAGCTAGTAGTGGAAGCAAGCTTCTTGCCTCTTGGAATTCTTAGGGCCTCAGGACTTTCCAGAACAGTCTGTCTACCTAGACAGTGGATCAAAGGATGAAGACACACGGATGAGAGCTGGTGACGGTGCAGAACTTTAGCTACACAGTCCTTTCTTTGCCCACAGTCTCCTGTCCTAACAGAATCATGGGCCACACCTATTTGCAAGGAAGCTGAGCAGTGTGGGTCACCAACAGGCCTAGATGAAGAAAGAAACCAGACTGACTGTGACATGCAGGCATCTGATGCTAACTGAGAGCTTTGGCTTGCCCTTCATTCATGTCCAGGGGACCCTTTTAGATTTCAGTCTTTGAAATTCTCAGCAGGTTTTCTCTAGGTTTTTGGAGGCCATGTCTTGGGAAGGGAGCAGGCCTCACAGGGCATCCTGTGTGGCTGTGTTGAAGGTAGTTGAACATCAGGCCTCCGATGGACTCTCCCTCAGGAGGATTCCTATATGGAATAGTGGAATCAGTGGAGTTGATGCAACTTAATAGCTCAGAGGGTAAATATCTGGCTTTGCCAACGTGGCCCCCATGGGACGAGGTAGAAGAGGGACGCCAGCCAGTTAAAACACACTTGGTCCTTACAGAACCCCAGTTTTCTTGGTTCATCCCTTCCCCTTCCTTTCCTATTTTCTCCCTTCTGTTTGGGGAGGACAGCAGCAGATGGAAGTTTTTTCTCTCTTCTTTTCTTGTTGTCACTCTTTCAAATAAATAAATAAATAAACATTTAAAAGTAAAAGCACTGCTCATTTAATCCTTTTTTGTCAAATGGTTATTTAATAGGCTATAGAATAGATATTTAATCGTTATAGGACACTGTTGCTTTAAATGAAGCCAGAAATAAATGTTTTGTCAAAAATTCAGATTTAGTTTCTTTTTTTTCAAAGATGTGTTTATTTTTATTTGAAAGACAGTTGCAGAAACAGAGGCAGAGATCTTCCATCTGCTGATTGACTCCCCAAGTGGTTCCAATGGCCACAGCTGAGCTGAGCTGAAGCCAGGAGACAGGAGCTTCTTCCAGGTCTGCCCCGTGGAAGCAAGGGCTGAAGGACTTGAGCCACCCCCTGCTGCCTTCCCAGGTACGTTAGATCAGAAATGGAGGAACTGGGACTCAAATCAGTCCCCAAGTGGGATGCTGGCACTGAAGGTGAAGGATCTGACTTCTAATGCCACAGCACCAGTCCTGGATTTAAATTCTAATTCCACAGGTAGTAATAGGGACTGCTTAAGCTGTATATTAAAAGAAGTATACTTGGGCCCGGCGCAGTGGCGCAAGTGGTTAAGGTCCTCACCTTGCACGCCCGGGATCCCATATGGGCGCCAGTTCTAGTCCTGGCGGCCCTGCTTCCCTTCCAGCTCCCTGCCTGTGGCCTGGGAAAGCAGTCGAGGACGGCCCAAAGCTTTGGGACCCTGCACCCACGTTGGAGACCCGGAAGAGGCTCCTGGCTTCGGATCGGCAATATATCGGCCGTTGCAGTCACTTGGGGAGTGAATCAACGGATGGAAGATCTTCCTCTCTATCTCTCCTCTCTGTATATCTGCCTTTCCAATAAAAATAAAAGAAATCTTAAAAAAAAAAAAGTATACTTGGTATCTTATCTTCATTTATGTAGAGGAATATAAAAAGATCTGTGACACCCCAAATCTGAGAATGGATCGGAGTGAAGAACAACTAAATTCTGTTCTTTGAAGAAAAATAACTTTGGAAAACATGGATCTCTGAGAAGGTGAACTTTTCCTTCTGGAGAAGTCTTTGGAAGAGTACAAGCAATTAGTGAGGAGCCACCAGAATCCTTGGGATAACTCAATTTTTGCATCCAGCCACACAGCCACTTGTAAAATTGCAATACTGCCATCTAGTGTTGCATCGTGAAAACAATCAACTTTTAGCCCTTTCACTGTAGGATTGTTTTAGAATTGACTGTCCAGCTAACTACAAGAGTTTGGCCTGTATTTTTTAATGTTATTTCAAGAAACATGTACTTCTAATGTTTGAAGTGGCTTTTCTAACTTTCTTTCATGTTTAAACTCAGGGATAGAATATTAGGAGAGGGTAGGATTCCACCTATGTCTCCTAAACTGTGTTTCTCTTGTGCCATGATGCAGATAGATTTAATGCAGCTGGGGGAAACCAAATAAGGCATCTTTCTTGCTTGGATTAAGTCTAATGTCTCTCTCTGTGGTTATTTTAAACAAATAATCCATTTGTTTTGGCTCAATTTTGCATTGTTAGAATAGTAGTGAAGACACAGAGCGATCCCTTGGGCCTGCCCCCAGTTCTCCCTGTTGTTAACATTCTGCGTCTCCTCTAGCTTCACTAGGGGCCTGACACCAGGGATAGAAAGCGTCAGGGCAGAGCACGGACTGTGCGACATCGGAAATGGAAGCCCAGGGCGAGCTGGCCATGCCAGCAGACGTTCCATCCGGAAGACTAGCACTAGCAATGTAAGTTTTCTCAATAGATTTGTGAGTGAAGAAGCTTTCCATCATAAAATCCTGTCTGGTAGGAGGTTAGATTCAAGGCAGTTCCAGAAAGGAAGCATGTCAGGACATTTTCCTTCCTGAAAAGGAGAACCAAAGACGAGGACAGGGAGGGAGAGACGTGAGGACAGGACAGGGATGGAGAGACGTGCAGCATGCACGGAGCGGAACGGAGCGAGGAGCAGAGCAGCTTCAATGAGTCAGAGGCTCGCCCACCATCGGAGGGCTTGGTGATGAATCAGTGACAGGTGGAGAGAAATTCAAGTAGCTCTGAAGAACTGATGTTTAATCCCAGCAGAAACAAAACACTGCCTGTCAGCCTAGGGGCCCACGTAGCTTATTTCTGAACCTCATGTCATCAAAGTAATGCAAATACCAAATTTGTTGAAACAGAAAAGGCATGATTATGTTGGATGCATTGAGGAAGTAGTGGAAGAGAGAGTAAACTGTATCATCCAGCCATAGACTAAGAAGTCAGTTTTCTACGATTAAAAAATTATGTAAGAAGTAGTAGTAGTCTCCCAATATTTTAACAACATGGTGGTAAATATTGCAGCAGTTGAAGTGATAATCTCTCAGGGGAATGGACCAGAGATTGGTAATAGTTGACAAAGAGAAGATTCTAGTAGGATTATATAACTTTGTGAAAGTCCATGTGTTACAGGCATGGGGAAGAGATCACCTTAGTTAACACCTAAGCTTATGCAATTCTGTTAATCAAGGGGCAGTGGGAAAAGGAAGTGCAGTTGCTCACCTTGGACAAAGTGCTTGGATTCTTATCAAGGCTGTGGCCAGTCAAGTGGGATCCTTTAATCTGGCTCCCTTCTCATTTGCATATATATATTTGCCACCTGAGAGATCACTTATTGTCTGCCCAATTGCCTGGCTCCTCTGTCTTAAGGCCACAGGGCTGTGCACGCTGAGAGCTCCACTTGGCAGCTTCAGAAACCAACCATGGCTTTTCCTGCAGGCTTCGGCTGGGGGGCTGCCACTGCAGCTTATCAAATAGAAGGTAAGAACAGTGCCCACCTTGGCTTCCCCAGGGCTGGAAGGGGTCCCTTCTGGTGGGTGCTGGATGCCTGAGAGGTGGCAGGAGGAGGCTGCAGACAAGATGGGGAAAGGTTGGAGAGGCCATAATGGTATACATGAAAGAGTCACCCTTTTAAACAGGATTGGCCCATGTTTGCTTGTCTGTTTCCTTAAGCACATAGGTCATGGAGTGTGGGGGAGAAGGTCCAGAGGACCAGCTGTGGCCATATTTTCATTTAGTCTAAGGTTCTGGGAGACCTGTTCCTTTTTTTTTTTTTTTTGTAATAAGCTTCCTGGAAAAAATTCTCCCAGCTCCCCTCAAAAGGAGAGTAAGTTCTCCTAGTGGTTGTAGAAATATTGAGTGGATAAAATCATTCAGGGGGCCCTTCATTCATTAAGGAAACTGCCCCCTTTTTTCTTCTAGCAGGCACAAAGCCAAGTGTAATCTCATAGAGGTCACCTCACGCCCAGGGTCAGGGGAGCAATGGGAAATGGTGACGTGCAGGCTGCTGGGCTCAGGGCGCTGTTCCTCCCACGTGTGCCTCCACGGTGCTCCCTGACCTCAGTTTCTTCATGTGTGAAATGGGAAGTTGGCGTTTATAAATTCAAAAAATAAATTTATATGGGATTAGGGACTGTTAAAATGTGCCATGCCTGTCTGGATAAATGAGTGATGAAACCTGGAGTTAAACAAAGCCAAATGAGACTTCCAGAGTACTGTCGCCACGTCCCACCAACCGGGAGGCTTCAACAACAGAGAGGTGTTCTTTCAGAGTTTGGGGGCATTGAAAAAGGAAGCAACTCTCTAACAAAATCACCTGGAATATGGAGGGCCCTGAACTCTCTGTGGCTGGTGTGCTTCTAAGAGGAGGGAACTTTGACACAGCTAGAGATAGAATGTCAAGTGTTAACGAAGGCTGAGAATGGCACCTGCAAACAATGAACTCCAATCTGAGGTGCTTTTTGATTGCACTTCTAGAAATCGAATACTCCAACCAAATCTAACAAACCAGTTAATGCAGTAATTCTTTCAGTCAGTGCTACGGGGTCAGGAGGATGTTATGATAAGGGGTCAAGTGCTAGTGGCCATTCTAGATTCTATGATCAAGGTGGCTATCTGTGAATCTAAGGCTTGAAAAATGTGCAGGAGAGAGCCATCGGAAGAGCAGTGATCTTTCTAGGCAGGAGACAGCACAAGTTGATCCCAGAGTAACTCATGCTGCTGAGTAGTCCAGTGTCTCCTGATGCTTGCCAGGCCTGAACACATAGGAATGAGGAGTTGCTGTTACAGCAGTTGCCATGACCGGTCTGTGGAAACTACTGCAGAAGGAGGATTACACATATATGATTGGTGATACGGGACTCTTAAATGAACTCTTTAGAACAACCTGGCTAGCAAGGATTCCATGTTACTTTATCATTAAGAATATTTTCTCTCATCTCCCAGAGAGTTCTCATTAGATTAGGGTGACAGATTGAGTCAGTGGGCCATCCGGGAAAGAAAAATCCCAGAGCTGACCCTCGTTAGCTTTGTTCTCAAGGAGCAGTCACTAGACCATCCCGGAGCACATGGGGCAGGCACCGGAGCTGAGACAGCTGACTCAGCTCTGGAAGCAGCAGAGCTGGACTCTAGAGCAAAGTCCCTTAGACTCTTAGCTCCTAGCTTAGTGGCTTTAGGACATGCACTCAACTTCTTCATGCCTTATGTTAAAAGAAAAGCTTTAGAAGAACTTTGTATGGCAGTTGAGTCATGGAAAGACTCATGAATTGAGCAGTGAGGAGAGCTCCATTTGGCACTTGATGGGCAGGCAGCTTTCACAGCCAGAAAGGGGAAGTGACATACAGAAATAGGCTGATTGTTCCGACTCGGTGTTTATCTTGTTGGGAAACAGCTTAACAGCTTGCAGTCTGTGATTGGCTAAAAGCTTGCCTGCTTTAACTGAGACTCGGTTACTTGTTCCAAAAATAGCCTGTCAAGTTGCTGTTTGCTTAGATATTAGGTTACAGATGCTGCTTTAGGCAAAAAATTAACATTCCTCATCTGCAAGATGGGAATAATTATAGAATCTACTGTATCGCATAGCTATGAGGTTTACAGTAGATGATACATCTTAAGTGCTTAGTAACTGTGGTATTCGTATTTGGGAGATGGCAGAATGATTACTGAGAATACATCATTATGGAACAGGGAACTTAGAGTCAATAGACAGCCAGTTTTATGAGACGTTAATGTGGGTGTCACTTACCAGCTTCCACTCTGTTCTCCCAGGACCTGGAGCCACATAACTGGTACAGCCTGCTCTCTTCTCCACAGGCAGCCTCAGAGTTGCAGCACCTTTGCTGTTTGCCTTGAACTAGCTTAGTCCCAAGCTCTTCTGTACTGCAATCAATCTGGGCTTAGGTTAAGAACTCTCTGACTTTTAACCTGCCATTGTGCTATTAACTGTCAGAAGCTTCTAGGGCTGGTGAATTGATCCAACGTACTGTGCCAACAGTCATGAACCTGTTGTCTTTATCAGCTCAGAGTCTGGGAGCTCCTACCTAACCTTTTCTGTTGGGTTTGGAGCCAAGTGCAAGCACTTATTAGCTAAAAAACTTTAAATGACTTATTTATATTTCAATTTCCTTACTTGCAAAAAAAAAATAGAAATGGCCATGCTTATTTTGTAGATTTGTCCCAGGGATTAAGGAGTTTAGCAGATGTAACTGGAACACAAAGGGAACTGGGATAGAGCACACCCCAAATACTGAAATACTAATACTAGAGTGGATACGATCCAATTCAAGCAGGGTTATAGTTTGCCATCCATGGTTTCATGTATCAGAAGTTGGGTCACCAACATGGCAGTTTCAGAGGTGCTGGAAGCTTTAGGAGGTATGGCCTAATAGAGGCTGCTGGGTCGTTTGGGGGTGTTTCTCTTAGGAGGACTGAATAGAGTTTTCAGAGAGCTCTGGCAGTTCTCCTAGGAAGCCTGTGGTGAAGGAGCCCTCTGGTCTCCTGTCTTGCTGTGTGCTCACTCCCCCTTACATGTGCTCCTGCCGTGATGTGATCACCAGAACCCAGCACGTGTCAGTGCTGTGTTGTTGAATCTCCAGGGCTGTGAACTGACGGAAACGCTTTTCATTATAAAGTAGCTGGTTTCAGGCAATGCATTGCAGGCCCTGAAAAGGGAATGCTACAAACATGAAAGCCTTTATTTTTCTTTCTCTCTTCTGCTTTCTCTTCTTGAGAAGCAGGGCCACATCATCTGCCCCCATTTAGTGGGAATTGTCCTTTTTTTAACTGTTGCAAATTAGAACGTATTCCTTTTTTGCACATGATTTCATTGATCTTGTGTGGGGAGGGCCCTATTTGAAAGGCATGATGACAGGAGCATAGGCAAGATGGAATAGCAGGGAAGTCAGAAAACCAGCGAGTAAGGATGCCAGCCTGCTCTTTTATAACAACTCCTGCTCGTGGGAGCTAACTGTTGCTCCAGGAGAACTACCTTCATCACATCTGAGAGCCTCCAAAGACATAATCACTTAGCAGCAGGCTCCATCTCCTAGAGATTCCACTATCTCAACACCATCTCCACATTGAGGATCAAACCTCTACATGAATGCTGAAAGGACTAGCCATATCCAAACCATATCTTGACTCTTTGTTTGCCCATATACTTTTTAAAAGATTTATTTATTTTTAGTGGAAAGACAGATTTACAGAAAGAAGGCAAAACAGAAAGACCCTCCATCCACTGGTTCACTCCCCCAAGTGGTTGCAACAGCTGGAACTAAGTCTATCCAAAGCCAGGAACCAGGACCTAAGAGCTTATTCTGGATCTCCCACACAGGTGCAGGGCCTCAAGGCTTTTGGGCCATCCTAGGCTGCGAGCAGGGAACTGGAATGGAAGTGGAGCAACTGGGACTAAAACTGTCATCTATATGGGATCCTAGCACTTGCAAATGGGGGTTAGCCAATTGAGCCACCACACTGGACCTCAGTTGTACATATTTAAAGTTTATTTTACTCATTTGAAAAGCTGTCAGAGAGATGGAGGGAATCAAAGAAAGAGACCTTCCATCTGCTGCTTTATTCCCAAATGGCTGCAGCAGCCAGGGCTGATCCAGGCCGAAGCTGTGGACTGGAATTCTCCCTGGGTAGCAGGAGCTCTTGTACTTGGCCAATCTTCTGCTGCTTTCCCAGGCACATTAGCAAGAAGCTATTTTAGAAGTGGAGCAACTGGGACTTGAACCAGTGCTCTAATATGGGATGGCAGCATTACAAGAGGTGGCCTAACGTGCTGCATTGCAATGCTGGTTCCTTGATTGCCTGTGTTACCAGATGCTTCCTTCTCCCTCCTTTTTGTTTTTAATCTGTAATTATTATTCTCTTAAATTGTAGTTATTTGTATATATTTGAAAGACAGAGTGCTAGGAGGGGTGGAGGAGACAGGCTGGACTGGTCTCTCATCTGCTGGTTTATTCCCCAATTGCCAAAACAGGCAGGGCTGGACCAGGTCTGCCACGTGGCTAGCAGGAACCTGTGTTCCTGCGGTATTGCCTGCTGCCTCCAGCGATGCACGGGTGGGAATCCAGACCAGAGTCAGAAGAGCCAGAAATAAAGCCAGCACTCTGATATGGGATGTAGTTGTCCTGAGTGGAGACCAGCTGTGCCACCAGCTCCTTCCCCTGCTTGCCATTCTTCCTACTACACTTTCTGCCCCTCCTCTGGGCACTTCACTTTTTATGACTTTAAAGAAGAGTTTAATGTTTATTATATAAGAGTTAGCTGTGTGGCGCCTTGAGCTTTTTGGAGGAAAACACAATATAAATCTAATAAACAAATAATAAATACATGGTATAAGCAGGAAGAAAATTACGTGTTTTAGTTGAGTTGTAAAGAACATTATAAAAGCTATAAACTATATTTGTTAGACTAAGAGGCGGTGAAGAAAATGCACACAGTCATCACGAATATGAGTGTTTTCAAGAAGCAAAAAA